TCTTGGAGACACCTGATGTCTCCATAAAGAGAACCTGTCACATCTCTTTGCTATCACAGAGGGTTTCTTAGCCCACTATGTGATAACAATAGCGTTAAGTAAATAAAAAAAAAAAACCATTAGGAAAAAAGTTGCAAATAATAAAAAAAAAATTAAAATCACACATGAAAAAGAATTTTAAAAAAATGTAAAGTCCCAACCCATACATACACGCGTGCAAACATGCGTCAGGTGCGCAAATGACAATTGCGCCCATTATGCTGCACATGTTACATCGTGAATGTCGCAGTGAGAGCAATAACTTTAGGGCCATCAATCAATAACACTAAACTGATGAGCGGTAAAAGCTTTTAAAGCGTCACCTATGGTAAGTTTTGGGTATGGTAGTTTTTTGCGATTTCACGGGTGCACGCAAATTTTAAGGTTTGACATGTTTGGTGTCTATTTACCCGACGTGACCCTCTTTTATATTTTACCAAAAAATTGGGTAATAATAATGGTTTCCTAACAATGTAAAAAATAACTTTTTTTTTCAAAATTATCAGTAATTTTTCCTTAATATAGTAAAAATAAAACCCCCAGTGGTGATTAAATACCATGAAAAGAAAGCTCTATCTGTCCCCAAAAAAGTACCGCAGCGCTAAATACTAAAAAATGGCCTGGACAGGAAGAGGGTGTAACCACTGCGGTCAGCAAGTGGTTAATGTTACTTTACTGTTGCATTTCCAGGACAGGAAGTGAAAGGAAATCTACCCAATGGGACATAGAGCAGGGAGGTTAAAATCACTTTTAGGCGTTTTATTAATTTTGCTGCCTATCCTAAAACAAAGAAAGTGTTGGTCTTCGATATATTTTAAGGCCTTGGTTCTCAACTGGTAGGTCGTGACCCGACCCCATGTTCAGTGGGTCCCCACGTGCCTTCAACTTTTATAGATGAGGCTCCCCAGCCTCCCCCTAGCACAGCACTGTCAGTTCTTGGGCCAAGCAACCATTCAAAATATGCTGCCCGGCGCAGAGTGTCAGCTTGAGTTGAGATGAAATGGGGCCATGGCCGCGAGGGAGCTCCATCCATACATGCATTGCTTGCAGCTCCCTCGCGTGCCTTGCAGAGGTCCCTGGACCGGAAAGCCATCACGTTCTGGCTCCCAGAACCTCTACAGGGCACGTAAGGGAGCTGTACCAGCAATGCACATATGGATGGAGCTCTGTCACAGCAGCCCACACTGGAACCCAGGCTGAGGATCCACTCCAGTTCTCATAAGATAGGGAGACTGGGTGGAGTTGTACCTCAATGCCGTGTGTTCCATTGCAGTGCGACTTGGGTCACGACTAGGGATGCACCAATACCACTTTTTTAAGACCGAGTACAAGTACCGATACTTTTGATCAAGTACTCGCAGATACCAATTACCGATACGTTTTCTTAAAGGGACAGGTCACATTTTTTCTAAAGCAATACAAACTAATGCTTTAAGGTCACTTTCTTAATATTATGATTCTTGAGATGACGAGGGAGCATGACGCCAGCTTCCTGGCCAATCAGAATGCCGGGCGCTGCGTCATTACACGGCGCCCGGCTTCCGGATTTGCTATCTTCCTGACCAATTGGGAGGCCGGGCAGCGCGTCATTGCACGCTACCCAGCTTCCTGATTGGTAGGGAAGTCGGCACCATGCTCTCTCATCACAAGTGACGAGAGAGCATGGAGCCGTTTTCTGTCCAATCAGGAAACCGGGCAGCGTGTAATGATGCGCTGCCAGCTTTCTGATACAGGAAGTACTCGTGCTAGGTATTGGAGCATTTGGGCGAGTACGAGTACTCACCCAAATACTCGGTATCGGTGCATCCCTAGTCATGACTTAATGGCCAAGGACAAATGTGGGTCCTGAGGTTACACAGGTTGAGAAGCACTGTTTTAAGGGCTAGAAGCAACATTATTACTCAAGGATCCATCTATATTTATGGAAGGCTTCTTATACTGTCAGAGGGATAGGCACAGGCTTAACAGAGCCAGACTGCCAAGGCAAGAAGCTCTGCCAGAAGCCTCGGAGAGCATGCAGGGTCATATCATGATGTAAAAAAAAAAAAAAATTATTTACTGCAGATAAACTGTAAAGACAGCAGGACAGGGGAGAGGAAAAAACGGGAGAGGAGCTCGAACAAGGAAAGATTTATCTGAAGCTTGGCAGAGGGTGCGGAGGAGTGGAGGAAAAAGCGAAGGACCTACGACCAGAGATCAGTACTTCTCCACATAAAGAAGAAATGAGAGAGGAGTAACTTCAGGAATATCCCAGGAATGTCTGATAACAAACAGCAAGAAACAGTGCACTGAAAACATTGCACTCAACCATCCAACCTTTCTAGAAACATTATAGTAAAAAAGGAAAGCAATAAAAAAGGATCAAAACAAGAGTAATTAGTAGATAAAGAGTAGTGAGAAGTCATCTTTCACACAGGAGATGACAGCTACTAATCAGCTCCTTCCTCACTCTATGGTGATCTGCTGGTGACCTCAGATGACATATTTCAGGCTGGCTCTGCCTTCATATAACTAGCTCCTTCTAGCTGCATTTTACAAGGTTCTCAGCAGTTACTGGAGGAAAAGGAAATACAGAAACTATGTTGATGAACTGCAAAGCGCATGACATTACCGTAATTAAAGGGAACTATGGGTTTTTTTTCTTGTTTTTTTTTTTACGTGAACCAGTGAAAGAAAGGAACAGCTCAATGTAAACAATCTTATCCAGATGTACTGCTGTCAGATCAGCCAGCCAATTGCTGTCACTGCTTGCTTGAAAATTTTGATCTGATCGATTGTTCTGATCGAAGGTTGCCGGATGGCACCATGCCGACATGGCCATCCACTGAGCAAGTTTCATCCAGTTCATCAAAAGCCGCACAAAATTTGCACAGCTTTGGACAGCTGTCCCTAGAAAAAGGCGTCTCAAAATGAAAGATTTCCCCTTACTTCTTCTTCTGGGGACAACTCTAAAATTTTGGATTTCCTCTCACTTTCTTACTCAGTGACATCGAATATAACTCAAGATCTGACACCCAGCTCCATGGTTCAATCCTTTATTCAATATCAAAATGAACAGCTCACATTGGAAAACCCGCTAATGCGTTTTAAGGCCATTATGGCTGAAACGTGTTAGCAGGTTTTATGATGTGAGCTGTTCTTTTTGATAGTTAATAAAAGGTCGAAGCATGGAGCTGGGTGCTGGAACGTGTGTTATATTCGTTCTGTACCACGGCCCTTTCCCAGTTGATACAAAATATTGGGCTACGGGTAAAGCGGGTTTACAGTTTTGTTGTACCACCTTTCTCAGTGAATCTTTCCAACAAATAGGAATCTCTTTAGTTGGATATTGTACTCAGCCTTCGGTTTTTCAATTGACTTTTGTTAAGTCGGGTGTTGCCAAAATTTGGGCAGTGTTTGCCCATCTTTAGGACCCGCTTTAGGAGAGCATAGCGTTCTGTTAATTCCACAATACCATGCAGTTAACACGTGCTATTGCTCAATGCACCTAGTGCATGTCATTGTGTGCTATGAACTTGCAATAAGTACGTGAATAAATAGACCTACTGGATTTGCTTTGGAGTGCCGGTGTCCATCTTTTACTTATACTCTGACAGAAGCCACCCGTTGACACCTGCTGCACCCACTTCTTTTCTTATGGAGCAGCGGTATGGAGTACGATGGGTACACAGACTGTATCAGTGTGTGCTAGGCGCATTGACATTCATTTGAATGGCACCCAAACGCACCTTCCGGCAGCCATGCATTGTAGCGCAATGCAATGTGCCACAATACACTGTGCTGTGGTGCAAAGTAATGGATGCACTACTTCTTTTTTTTTTATCGCAACACCGCACGCAATACCGCGCGCTGCAGTGCACTGCTGCCAGAAGGTGCATAGGGGTGTCATTGAAATGAATGGCAACACACCTAGCGCATGGTACACTGGGCGGGTGTGCTGTTCAACGATATCGTTAAATTAACGTACCGCTGTGATGTGAACAGGCCCTAAGTCAAGCCTCAGTAACGTATTGAAACGAAACCAGAGGAAAGCACTTAATAAGATTTTATTAAAGATAATAGCAAGAATCTTGTGGCGTTTGCTCACAGGCAGGATTAAAGCAAAGTACGGGTTTACTGTAAGTTATAAGGAATGGAAAGACAGGTCTTTATAGATGTAAAGAGATCATGTAAAGTTTAGGTGCTGGGAAATGGAAAACCGGGTTTTAGCCAAGTACAGAAATATCTTTCACTTATCATCATAAGCACAGGTATTTGTTCATGTTTCAGAAGGATCACTGAGAGGCCGATCTGATTAGAGGAAAGTGCGTGAGGTTGCACAATATCTTGATGTAGATATAGGAGGGCTAGTCAAGAATGGTGAATGACAAACAGAAGGAAAGATCCTATAAAAGAGAAAAGACATTCTTGTGGAAAAAGCACAAATCCTTTAATTCAGTCACTAAATAGAAAACACATAGGTCCATTTAGGACTTATTTCTTGGAAAATTCCAGAAACGAACACCTACACAGTACACAATGGGCCATACCACTCTTGCAAATTCTAAGGTAAATCCTTTATTACAGATCGTCACAACCTTTATTATTAGCAATGAGAGTCTTAAAACCAATTTTCGTGTGAATGGATGAAGGGAGCATTTGGGAGCCCTTTATCAGTTCACTTTTCATGTTGCAGAACACAAAAAAAGGTCCCTATATAAGCCAATGGGCAATCGCTTGACATAAGAGATGACATGGCAAATGGCCAATGAGTGACATACCTTCCTTATTTGGACTATATGAAATCCTTAAAATGTCAAAGAATGCATTTATCCTTTACATAAATAAGCAATATCAAGTGCAAAGTGCAGTAAACTATAACTTAACCAATATGACTACTTCAGTCAGAAATCGGATTGGTTCCTGTCGGTTACCGCGTTTTGCGCTGCTTTAACAAAACAAGTATAAAAGTCTTGGCTTACCTTGCATGCTCTGAGCCGAAGGACCAGCGAACCATGGTAATAGCAGCAGGAAAAGCAGGTAGATCAAAGATAACGCGTTGTAACGAAACACGCAAGCTGCACAAAAGGAAAGAACAAAAAGGCATTAACAAAAAGTTGAATTTTATTAAAGTGAACCCTAACCCCTCCTGAAAGGTTTTTAGTTTTGAATAGAGTGGGGAAGACTTAAGTTACACTAAACTCAGGAGTTCAATCTTAAAAATACATTCAAGCACCTTAACTATTAACAACAATGTATCTTATTTGTGTATCACTCGATTGTAGATCCTAAAATCATCTCTGAATTGGTGCTGACACTGTCCTACCTTCTGGAGGGGGGCTACTTTTGTTCCCCATGGTTCCTGTGTGTGTTGTATAGTAGCCACCGCTCCAAGCTTGCTCCTGTGATGGACTACAATCTCATGTTTAGTTAGCTAATTTGTATTTAACATGCAAAAGACAAGCAAAAATTTGGGGTCAAATAACGTGTGAAGCTCCCAGTGCAAACTGCTGCATGAGCTTCTTTGCAAAATTTGTTGCACGTAGGGCAGCTCATTGAAATGAATGAGCTGATGCACGCAAAAAAGAGATTCAGGACTCGGTGTCCTCAATCTCTTTTTCTATTTTAAAAAGGGAAATAGACAAAGTGTTAAAAAGGTTGGAAAATGAAAGAAATTAAAAATTGTATAATTTCAGTCTAAAAATGTCATTTCGGTGTATCCCTAATAAAAAGAATAATAAAAATAATAATTTTAAAAAATACCGAATACTGATACCGGAAGTCCCATTAAAAGGAGAACTATGGGGTCAGTGTTTTTCCCTATAGTTCTCCTTAGGGTAACGGGAGGACACAAACTAGCGTCCTCCCGTTACCCTAAGCTCAGTATACCGCGAGCGACAACTCGCGGTATACTGAGACGCCGCAGCCAGAGCGGATCCCGACATGGACGTCGAGATCCGCCCAGCTGCGTGAGTGACAGCTGGCTCTTCCTATCTAGAGGCAGAGCCAGCTGTACCCGCCCCCTCCCCCGTCCGTTCCGCCAGTCAGCGCTGGCAGATCGGAGCGGGGAGAGGGGAATCCAGCCCCTCCCCCTGTCACGGCAGAGAGCCGTGACAGGATCGAGAGGTGAGCGAACCCGGTATGTGTTCGCTCACCTCCCGATCTACTGAGCCGACCTGTGACAGTCTCATTGTCACAGGTCGGCTAGAACTATGAGGTGAGTGGAAATCACTCATCTCATAGTTCTCCTTTAAAGGAAGCCGTGCAGCGTGTAATGACTCCATCTCCATGCTCTCTCGTCAGCACTTAAAAAGGCAGCATGGAGCCGGCTTTCTGGCCATTTAGGAAGCTCAGGGAGCAGGTAATGACTCGCTGCCTGGCTTCCCGATTGCCCACCTTCCCGACCAATCAGAAAGCCGGGCTCCTGCCTTGCTGATTGGCCAGGAAAACCAGCTACATGCACCCTGGTCACAAGGGAGTATGGACCGGCTCCCCGGCGAATCAGGAAGCCAGTCTGCGTGTAATGACTCGCCACCCGGCTTCCTGATAGTAACGGTGCATCCCTATACTGTATACACACACACACACACACACTATATTTTTGGTATTTGTATATTTTGTGAACATGAACAAAATGTAGAGGTAATTTTAAATATTTTGCTCAGAAAAGGTAATGGTGTGACGTACACATTTATAGAATACACCCCTTTGTGTTGCCAATGCAAACATGCTCCTCAGAACTGCCCCCCTTGCAGGGACATTTACCTCAGGTTCTCGCTCAGTGATAGCCCTAAAAATGGCTGCTTCACCTGACTGCAACCAGCAACATCCCCCATCTCACCACTGTTATGTGTAGCAACTGTATTTATACTTCTAAAATGTCCACAATAAAAACAAAAAAAAGAAATAGAAAAGTCGCCATTTAAATATGTCCAAAGTTTTAGGTTACTTTAAAAAGAAAAAAAAGGAAAAAACACATCCTGTTGTTACTACCCGACATGGATCGGTTACAACACGAGTAGCCAAAACCAGCAGGGGGTCTGCGCAATGATAGGACGGCCGTACGAGAAATACATACAAAAGAGGAAAAACCACAGGCACAAAATCCCCAGAGATTTCTCAGTGTCGTCCTGTCAGGAAATGATAGAGACAGTAGAAAATCATACAGGCGTGTGTGGGTTGGAGGCCTGGGGCCTACGTGTGGGACAAAGGGGGGCAACTTCACCATCAAAATATTTTGCTTTTGGTTTTTTTCGGCCCATAAAAAAATAAAAGTTGAAAATGAAGAGATTCCACAGAATTTTGTGCGTGCATGTTCGTGCCTGCGCTGTTGTGTTTGTTCTGTGTGATAGCGTGTCGGAGAGAGCACCCGTGTCATTGTATCAACGTGTGTGTTTGTACACATTGCTGTGAGGGCAGGAGAGATGAACTGTGGAAAATTAAACTCCTGTGTCCTTGTGGGGATTCCATCTGCCGTTTACTGATACCGTCACTCAGCAGGGTACATTGTCACAATTAATCCGCCGCCGGTGTCGGGGGCAGATCCGGCTAGTCTGCTGCCCGAAGCAGCAATGCCACCGTTTCATCGTCCTATGCGAGTGACCACAGGCTGGATTCATTTATAAGGTAGGGCACAGTGATGTAACCCATGGCAACCAGCTCTCATTTTTTTTCCTCATTTGATGACGCTAAACAGAAATTTGATTAACATGGGTTATGGCGTCCCATGTTAATCATGGGTTATGGCTTCCCACAGAATCCTAGGCTCAGAATATGGGCCTTGGACTCTTCTCCAATAGAGAATAAAGCTGGCTGTACATGCAGGGGGTGGGGGTTGCCTACCCTATAGAATAGCAGGGGTAGACAACCTCAGAGGTGTGTTCTGTTGCTCAGCCGATGCGAGTGCTGAGTTTGCAAACCGCCGCTGACCGCTGTGCTGCAAGTCAGAGCTCAGCGCTGCTAACTTAGCACTCGCACAAGTGAATGTGGATGCAGAGCGCTGAGTGACGGAGAGGTGGGAACAGAGCACCAGCAGCCATTTTAACTGTGGGCTAGGGTTGTCACCTGTCCGGGATTCACCCAGACAATCCGGGTTTTGAGTGCTGTGTCCAGGTTTCATGGCAGCTGAAACCCGGACACCAGATGTCAGGTAGATGGGGCAACCAAAATTAAGATAGGGGATACTGGTCCCCCACTGAAAATAGGCTCGACTGTGATAGTTACATATGAATAACCCATGACTCACTCATTCATATGTAACTATCACAATTAATTGATATGCAAATTCTGCACCTCCTCCTATTGCTGGTCAGGGTACATACCTCTGTAACATTGCTGGTTAGGGTACATACCTCTAAGGCTGGGCACACACCTTACAACCATCGCAAGACTTTTGTCTTGCGATGGTTGTAAGGTAATTTTAAAAAACGAACGATCTGTCTATCTTGGACAGGCAGATCGTACTTGCGATGATCGCAAGCCTGCCCCGCTGAGGGGCGGGCTTCCGATGACCGCAATGCCGAACGGGCAGTGTGCGCTTGCGCACACTGGCCCGTCCGGCTTTTAGCTTACTAGCATCCTATACACCTGCCGAAAATCGTACGATGCTCGGCGGGTTTTCGAACATGTTCGTAAGATAAAAGTTGTGCGACCTTACAGTAGTAGAGGTCGCACGGCTTCCACACACCTTACGATAATCGTACGATCGCGGGATTTCCCGCGATTATCGTACGATTATCGCAAGGTGTGTGGGGACCTTAACATTGCTGGTCAGCGTGAATACCTGCGTTACATTGGTGATCAGTGTTGTTTACCTCTGTTACATTGGCAGTCAGTGTAAGGCCTCCCAATTCTCTCCTCTCTCTCCCCTGGCCGTCTCTCCCCTCTCTCTCTCTCTCTCTCCTGGCCGTCTCTCCCCTCTCTCTCTCTCCTGGCCGTCTCTCCCCTCTCTCTCTCTCTCCTGGCCGTCTCTCCCTCTCTCTCTCCTGGCTGTCTCTCCCTCTCTCTCTCCTGGCCGTCTCTCCCTCTCTCTCTCTCTCTCTCGGCCGTCTCTCCTCTCTCCCTCTCTACTCCACACCTCAGCACTCCAGTGGTAGTGGAACTACAAGTACCAAGAGGCATTGCAAGACTGACAGCCACAGTTATGACTTCCAGAGGCAGAGGCATTATGTGATTTGTAGTTTTAAACACAGCTGGAGGCTGCCTACCTATGTTCTAATACTGTGCAATTGTTCCATTAAACAAAACGCAAACAGGGACTGTACCATTGTCCTTCATTACACAGAACATTGTCCATTACATAGAACGCACACAGGGACTGCACCACTGTCCTTTATAGAGAACGCACACAGGCACTGTACTATTGTGTATTACATAGAACGCACACAGGGACTGCACCACTGTCCTTTATAGAGAACGCACACAGGCACTGTACTATTGTGTATTACATAGAACGCACACAGGGACTGCACCACTGTCCTTTATAGAGAACGCACACAGGCACTGTACTATTGTGTATTACATAGAACGCACACAGGGACGGTACCATTGTCTATTACGTAGAACGCGCACATGGACTGTACCATTGTCCTTTATACAGAATGCACACAGGGACTGTAACATTGTGTATTACATAGAACGCACACAGGGACTGTGCCAGTTTGAATCCAGAACAGTTGTAGAGATGCCCAGTAATGAACTCTATGGCACCATGCGCTCCTATATGCAAGAGAAGACAAATGTGTAATGCAGACCGGCCATCTGCTTCCTTGTTGTGAGAATCATCCACAGCCCCCTCCTCACAGACACCGCACTGTTCTATAGAATATGTTGATGGCGTTAGGACAGGAAGATGGAAAATTCCAATGTCCTGTGTGTCTAGGAGGGCAGCCTGCCATTAGCTCTACACACAGCTGACCCCACCCTATAAACAGCACCCGGGGCCATTCATGAGCTGCCATATGGGCCGCAGGTAGCCATGAACAACACTCACATCCACACTTCAGAGATTTACTTTGTCAGCAATGTTAACCAACGGGGAAAATGTCAGAATAGTAATGGGGATCTTTTTGGAGTCCTA